AACATTGCGCCAATTCAATTCCAAATTAATCGATGTGTTTTCGATTTAAAACGACACTCCTTATTTTAGGAATGCGAAAAAAAAAATGGCTACATGTAACTGATCCAAAAAAAGATCCAGTCATAAGGGGCTTTTTCCTGTTCTTTCTAAAGAAGTTGTTTACTTATTCAAACATTTACGTATCGATCCATTCATTTATTAAGCAACAGCTTTGAATGTCAGCGTTAGCTGCTAGGACTATTAGTATTATTTTTAACAGTACAATTTAAAAGACAAAAAGAGCATCATTTATCAACAGACCCAATTAATTTATTAAACAACTTGTAATATTCTTGCCAAGGAGCGACTCTTAAAGAAGTAGAATAATTATCCTTAAAGAGACAACCACAAACTATTTCTTTGCTCACCACTGACACAATCTCGAAGTTGTCTCCAAAGTAACTCGAGATTAACAATCTTCCACGGTTGCTCTCTCTTGGTATAGCTTTCTGAAGAGTCAGTCCCTCCCGACAACAATTACTACTGCTGCACGACTGTGTCCTTATGTACAAAGTATTCTCGCAAATTCCGGACGCTTACAACACAACGATATTGGTAGTGTTACATCATAACTATTTAACCTAATAAAATACTCCAGAAGGTCCCTTGGTATGCATTTTTGCATGACTGGGCATTCTCGAAATTTCTAGAAACCAATAGTTTCAGTCATTATTCATAGCTTATTATCTAAAGTAATAACAGTGTTTGGTGAGAAGTTTGTAAACTCAATGAGTGAAATATCGAATATGAAATAATCATGCAGTAAGCGCAGAAATTTAGCGCGCAAGAATCGAAAGATAAATACATTCAATTAAAGCTGCGTGCTAGAGTGCTTCTTAAAGAAAGACAATTCGTGATATCTTGGCTTAAATTCCCGCCTTGTCTATAGTGGACTGTGGTCTTACTCGAAGGAAAGTCATCAAGATACTGAGCTATTAGAAATTTGAATTTATAGATTTGTTTATTTCGATGAATCTTGCCTTCAAGTATACTATCGCCCAGAAAATAAACTTGTTATCGTAAAGAAGATAGATTACAATTACAGTTAGTTGAGTGCTTAAACAATTATGAAAAGAAAAACCTCTTTTTAGCTGCAGATCGCAAGTCAGATCGATCGTAACCGACTTTATGCTGTTAACTAAGTGATTGCAATAAGTAATTGACTGTCATTTCCGGTTGGTTGGATCCAGTTATTTAAGTTAGGTGCGATTTCGATTAAAACTGAGCACAAGACTGCAATTTAACTGCCCATACATCCCCAACCTCACTTGGATTGACCTGTGAGCTCTTCCTTGTGGAGCTGCTCTTTATAGAAGATCGAAAAACGATGTTCATCTTTCTTTTGAAACGCTCTCTGATCTGCAGATAGACGAGCGACGCGAAACACATTCCTAGCACTTGTACTCGGATATCTCTCGAAAAACTAAAACTTGATGATACGGAGTTAACAATTAGTTTGTTTATTTTCCTTACCTGAGTGTTTCGCATGCAGTGTAGAGAGAAAATCAGGAAACCCTGCAGCATAAACATGATTTCAAGATCATTAATTTTTAC